CATCTATCCCTGCCCTCTGGCACTGGGAAGCCATTCCCTGTGTCCTGTCCCTCCATCCCTTGTCCCCAGTCCCTCTCCAGCTCTCCTGGAGCCCCTTTAGGCCCTGCCAGGGGCTCTCAGCGCTCCCTGGAGCCTTCTCTTCTCCAGGGGAACCCCCCCAGCTCTCCCAGCCTGGCTCCAGAGCAGAGGGGCTCCAGCCCTGGAGCATCTCCGGGGCCTCCTCTGGACTCTCTCCAGCAGCTCCACGTCCCTGTGCTGTTGTTCCCAGGGCTGGGGCAGCTCTGCAGGGGGGTCTCCCCTGAGGGGGCAGAATCCCCCCCTCCTCTGTCGGGGATGCAGCTCCATCCACGTGCCCTGGGGAGCCTGGGCAGTGCCCAACCAGCCTCTGGGGGAAGAACCTTTGCCTGAGATCCACCCTGAGCCTGCCCTGGCACAGCTCCAGCCGTTCCCTGGGGGCTGTCCCTGCGCTCACAGAGGGATCAGAGGAATCTGCCAACTCCAATTAAACCTTTCCTTCGAGCCAAAGCCAGATTCCAAAGTTCTGTATTTTTCAAAATAAAGATCACACGTTGTTTAGAGACAATCTACACAAGAGTTACAAAAAATAGTCGCCCAGGCATAAGCATACACAGGTTTGTTAATTATACACATATGGTTACAAGTGTGCTTGCAAAAAAGTTCATTGGAAATATACACAAGGCTCTGTAAATGTACACCGTGTAGTGTTACAATTCTATATTCAAACAAGGAAAATTGACAGTATGTTACATTCACTTACAAGTAGACAAAATGCAAAATACAGTTCATCTTCTGTACAAAAAGGGGAGGTGATTCACACTTTACAAGGTGAAAAGGGACTCTGATTGTAAGGAAAACTGGGGGGGGGGGCTGTACTTTTGCACTTTTTTGTTTCTTACTGTCACAAAATAAGCAAAACATTACTTTGTAAGAGTCAAAAAAACACTATTTGGAACTGAATCAGTTTTGTAGAACATTTAGAAAGGATCGCTACCGTTCAACTAGGTGACAAATAAAACCAAGCATTTATTTTTCTTTCTTTTTTTTTTAAACATTAACTAGGCTGTATAAAGAGAACATTTCCTTCAAAAGAAAAAATTTACTTCTGGTTGAAATTACAATTTACAATATACAACACTATATGCTACGACCATAAAAGGTGTGAATATACACTGAAATGCACAGGTTTTGCTAATTCTTTTTTTTTTTGTTTTCTTACCAAAAAACAGGTTTTTATGTCGATTCAAACTTCTCCACATTTACATTACAGAGGTTTACAAATGTACAATTGTACAGTCAGAAGTATGTTCCACTACTAGGGTACATTATAGATACAGATCAGACATCAAAACAAGAAAATACTACAAATTTTTATATATGTAAAGTCTACACCAAGTATACACTATATATTTATAGAAGCAAGACCAAAGCCGAGTTGGATTTTTGTTTTTTTTTGTGTTTTCTTTTTTTTCCTCATGCTAAATAATCAAATTTTGTGTCTCTCCAGGTGAACAGACCAGAGGAGGCAGTAAACAGGTACCCCCACCCCCCACTTTTAAAACCTCTGGGTGTTTTCTCCCCCAAAACGCCAGCTAAGCTCCCTCCTTCAGCATGTTTATACTCACCAATAAAATAAAAACATCGGAAAGAAAGCAATTAAAAAGTTTTAAAAACTGAATTTTCTTTCTTGGTTTGTGTGTGTTTTGTTTTCTTTTTTTAAAACCCAAGCTTTAAGTTGAATTTTTGTTCTTTTTAGTTATTTATAAACAGCGTTAAATGAGTCGGGTCGTTGAACTGAAATTCAAACTTCTGGCTGATTTTTGCCTAAAAGGAAAAAAAAAATTAAAACCAAAGAAGTGTTTGTAAAATGTTTTGTCTGTGAGGCAGATGAATTAAAAAGGGTTTGTTTGTTTGGTTTTTTTCCCCGTTTGTTTTCTTTCAAACCAACCACCCTGAAAGTTTCCACATTTGGAATATAGATACAACAGTGAAAAAAAAAAAAAAAAAAACTGTGGCCTTCCATGTACATCTGAGACCTATGTACAAGTATTCTATACACCAGTAAAACAGCAGGGCAATTAGTTAATTAAAAAAAATAATTAGTACATGTTATGCATAATAAAATTAAAGAAATTTACAAAGGCTTTGCTTTTCTTTGTTGGTTTTTTTTTTTTTTTTTTTTTTTTAAGTTTGTTTTTTTTTTTTAGCAACCGTCGAGGTGGATCTTTAGTGTGAGTTGGGGTGTTGGTGGTTGCTGGTTGTGGGGGCCGGGGGTGGCTCTGCTGGGGCCCCCTCAGATGATGCCGTTGGGGGGGCCACAGATGGGCCCCAGGTCCACCCCGTTCTTCATGTAGTACTTCTCCAGCTTGGCCAGGATGTGTTTGCCGTAGGTGTATTTGCGCAGGGTCGCGATGTGGGGCCGGATCTGGGAGGGCAAAAAGCACAAAAAAAAGTGGGATTTAGGAACCTGTGTCACGTGAGGGCCGTCCATGGAGAGCTCCGGGTCCTGCCAGAGCAGCAAAAACACCTGAGGTGTCACAGAATTAGAGAATATCCAGAGTTGGAACCCCCAGGGATCATCCCTCCAACTCCTGGCCCTGCACAGACACCCCAACAATCCCACCCTGTCCCTCAGAGTGTTGTCCAAACCCTCCTGCAGCTCTGGCAGCCTTGGGGCTGTGCCCACTGCCCTGGGGAGCCTGGGCAGTGCCCAACCAGCCTCTGGGGGAAGAACCTTGGCCTGAGATCCACCCTGAGCCTGCCCTGACACAGCTCCCTCAGGTCCTGTCACTGGATATCAAAGCACCCTTTGCTGTCATCACACAGTTCCTGGGAATTGAGGGAATCATCCAGAACCCACGGGTGGGATTTTTCACCTGGTCGAGCAGGTGGCAGCACGGATTTAAATGTAGTGGTTTCCCACTGAAGGAGGGTTAGAGGGGATACTGGGGAGAAATCCTTCCCTGGGAGGGTGGGCAGGCCCTGGCACAGGCTGCCCAGAGAAGCTGTGGCTGCCCCTGGATCCCTGGAAGTGTCCAAGGCCAGGTTGGAGCCACCTGGGCTGGTGGAAGGTGTCCCTGCCCATGGAGGGGGTGGGACTGGATGGGCTCTGAGGTCCCTCCCAACCCAAACCATTCCAGGATTTCATTATTCTGACTTTCTGCTCTCCAAATGGGAGCTGCAGCCGGGATGAGGGAATAGCCAGGCCTGATGGACAGCAATTCCCTGCTCCATAGGTGGACAGATCCCCACCCCTGACCATCACTCTCCCATGGGAAACTCATCCCAAACTTATCCTCTGTCAGCAGCTCAGCCTCCAGCCCTTTAAATTCCTGTTCCACCTCCAGGACCCACCTCCCAACACCCATCAATCCATGCCTTGGCTCCCCACACCCCATTCCCAAGGTCTGGTGGCTGTGCTGAGGAAAAAGAGCAGTGAAGCCCCCCAGTCCAACAATCCCTTCTTTGTTCACCTTCGTTCCCGAGACTTTCTTTTTCTTTACTGACGGAACCGTTAAAGTTACTTCCCAATTCTATTTTTTTCCAACAAATTGCCCTCTTTAACCCCACACAAAGTGCTGTTTGTACAACACCTACATTCCCAATCCATAGCAATTCCCACAGTGCACAAGCTCCACTTTCCCAGACTTTCCTTCAGCCTGATATCACAGCTCGAATCTTCATATTCACTCAGCCCTATTTAGCTGTCAACCCAGTGCTATTTTTGACAGCCCCACTGATAATCTAATTTGCATTTGATTCAAAAGACTTTGCTTGACAGGAAAAAGAAAGTAACATCAGTAATGATAATTTGTATATTTTTTGAACACACAGCTCTCTATTACAGATTAGCAGAGCTACAGGCCCTTCTGCTGCAGTCAAATTGGGTGTATCCCTTGCCAGACATCCTCATTTAATTATCTTCAGCATTTCTTCTGGACTAAACCAGATTTTAGTCTAAAAGAACTACTCTGAGTGATTCCTAAATGTAAGAATTAACCTCCATGAAGATTATTTCAGCTGTTTATGTTGATTAATCTACTGAACAACTGCCTCGTGGAAGTGAAACCAGCTCACTCAACACTAATTCCCACTATTTATAGAAAATCCACTTGGTCTGTTTTACTTGAGGATTCTTAAATATAGTAAGAAAAATTCTTCGTTAGGATTTCAATAACTGACACTATTCACAGTTCCTCTTAAAAATAAATCAATGAACGGGGGGTTTTCCAAGTCAGTGTCAGACAGGATTTCATTTCTATTAAGAGCTCTGGATGGAACTGGGGTTTTTCATCAAGGGACACAGCCCAAAACTTGTCCCTGAAGAAAATAACCTCAGTTCTACCACCCAATTAAAGCCTCTTGTTTTCCATTCATTGCAATTACAAAGCCCTGCAAATGTGACCTTTCACAGCAGGGAAAAATGAAGACATTCCCTGATTTCAGAGCTCCCTGCCCTTGGGACAACAGGCAAACAGCCCTTGGGGCAGGACTGGCAGAAAGGGAGATTTCATTCCAAAGTGGCTTCATTTTTGACAAATATGAAGTTTTGGGATGGTTCTGCATTCAAACATTGCAGTATAACGCTAAACCATACGAGTTTTGGACATCAGGAGGAACTTCCTCATGGAGAGGGTGGCCAGGCACTGGAAGGGGCTGCCCAGGGAGGTTTGGAGCCCCCACCCCTGGAGGTGTCCCAGGAAGGCCTGGCTGTGGCACTCAGTGCTCTGGGCTGGGGGACAAGGTGGGCACTGGGCACAGGGGGGATCCATGGGCTGGGAGGGCTTTTCCAACCTCAAGGACTCCGGGATTCTGTCAAGTTTCCCATCTAAACTCATTTCCAAGTGACCAGCAGAGGATGTGGTTGGTGGGGTGGGCTCGCGGGGGCAGCGGCGCGGTGTCGCCCCACAGCCCTCCCGAAGGGACACTGGCACAGGCAGGGCTGGCAGCCCACAGGGCCGGGGCCAGCGGGTCTGGGCAGCTCTGGCTCAGCCCCACAGAGCGCTAGAACTGCTCTCCTCAGCCACAGCTGCTCAGAGAGGGCAAGAGTGTCGTCATTGCCAGAGCCCGGGACCCGCCAGGGCCCCGACACCAGTGCTGGGGGGCTGAGCAGGGTGTGCTGCCAGGGCAGGGCTGGGGCAGAGGGGCACAGGGCTGCTGGGGGCAGCCAGCTGGATGTAAGGCCAAATGGCTTCTTGTTACCTCTCCAGAAAGCTGGAGGGGGACTTTGGACAATGGACTTTGGACAGAACAAAGAGGAATGGCTTCACACTGAGGGCAGGGTTAGCTGGGATGTTGGGGAGAAATTTTTCCATCAGCACCCAACATCTGAAGGACGTGGAGCTGCTGGAGAGAGTCCAGAAGAGGCCACAGAGATACTCCAGGGCTGGAGCCCCTCTGCTCTGGAGCCAGGCTGGGAGTGTTCACCTGGAGAAGAGAAGGCTCCAGGGAGCCCTAAGAGCCCTTTCCAGGGCCTAAAGGGGCTCCAGGAGAGCTGGAAAGGGACTGGGGACAAGGGATGGAGGGACAGGACACAGGGAATGGTTTCCCACTGCCAGAGGACCAGGATAGATGGGATATTGGGAAGGAATTGCTGGTTGTGAGGGTGGTGAGGCCCTGGCACAGGTTGCCCAGAGAAGCTGTGGCTGTCCCTGGATCCCTGAAGTGTCCAAGGCCAGGATGGAGCAATCTGGGATAGCGGAAGGTGTCCCTGCCCATGGCAGGGGGTGGGAATGAGATGTGTTTTCCAACCTGTTCTATAACCTTCACATTCCAGCTGCTGCTGAAATACCCAACTCAACCCCCTCTGGCATCAGGCAGCTCATCCCAAACCAATCCTCAGCCTCCTTCTCTCTCCTCACCCACCGCGCCAGCGACAGCTTTGCCTCCTCATCAACCCCCGGCACCCGCTCACCTTGTGCATGACAATCTTCCTCTGGGCTGGCTCTGCCACATCGATCATCTTCTGCACCACGTAGTTGGCATATTGATCCTTCATCATGGTGTATAAGGCACTGTGGGGGCCGTCGTTCATGGTGCACACCTCGTCGATCAGCATGGCCCGCTCCGTGCGCGACGCGTGCGTCACACACTTCTCCACCACGTTACTGCAACGACACAGGGGCACAGCCCGTGAGCCAGGAACTGCCCTGGCCTGCCCAGCCAACCCCAAGGAGATCTCTCACGCTGCCAGTGCAGGTGCCATCTCTTATGCTGTCCCTCATTTGGGACACGTGGAGGTGGTGGGGGAGTTCAGTGATGTGAAACGAGAGAGCAGAGCTTGGGATCCGAGAGGGAATTTGGGAAATGGACCAGTTCAGGGTTTATTTCACCCCAATTTGTGCGACTTCTACAATGATCAGTGTCTGTTCTCAAAGTGTGTCCATCAGAGAGTCACAGAATCACAGGATATTCTGAGCTGGAAAGGACCCACAAGGATCATCAAGTCCAGCTCTTAAGGGAATGGCCCATCGAGTCCATTCTTCTCCACCATAACGACACAACAAGGAGAATCCAGGGCTGTCCAGCCAAACCCAGGGAGATCTCTCAAGCTGCCAGCAAGGGCAGGTCATTTGGGACAGAGGAAGGTGCTGGTAGAGTTCAGTGAGGTGAAACAGGAGAGCGGAACTTGGAATCTGTGAGGGAATTCGGGAAATGCCCCAGTTCAGGTTCTGTTTCACCCAAATTTGTGCAGTTCTACAACAATGCTGTATGAGATCAGTGCCTGTTCTCACAGCTTGTCCATCAGAGAACCACAGACTATTCTGAAGGGACCCACAAGGATCAGAGTCCAGCTCTGAAGTACATGGGCACACGGGGATCAAACTCACAGCCTCGGTGTGTTTTTACCATCAGGCTCTAGAAGGAGTTATTTTGTTTGCTTTTCTCTGTACTGGGACACAATGGGAAGGGAGATCCAAGGTTAGAACAACAGGGAAGTGCTTATTCAGGAATGAAAAATCTCAGCAAAGGCAGAGAATTTCCAGAATTCCTGAATATATTAATGACTCTCTCTGCTCTCCGGAGAGCCAAGTTAAGTAGGATACATGAAAGGGGACCAAGGCATGTGCTGGTCTCATCTTCCACATCCCTGCCTGACTCACAGAACCATCAGTGGTTTGCTCAGCTCAGGGGACATCCCACACTAATTAATGCTCCATCTGGAAAAAAGGAGTTGAGGAAAAAAGAGCAAGGCAAGTCAGGGAGGAAGAACCTGAAATAACAACGTGAAGACCACGCTCTCCTAAATCTCATTAATGTTACACCTCCCTCGTGTCCCCAAGTACTGAAGCACTATTTTACTCATCACAGAAAGGGGGAATACTGAGCCTTTGAAGAGCTCAGCCTTCATGTTCAGTGGCTGGAAGCACATCCAGCAGGAATTTACACAGGTGGGAAGTGTTGCTTTGTCCTCGCAGCCACAAAGGCACCTGGATTTTGCTTTACCCACATGCAGCTCTGCAGCACTTGGAGTCAAAACTGGGAATGCTGAGAGGGAATCCCTGTGCACACCTCAAAAGGGACTGCAAGGCTCAGCACGTCAAAGTGCTGGGAAATGATGCTGTGAACACAAATTCTTCTGTGAAAAGCGGGATGAAAAAGAATTGTTGTGACACTGATTTCTCAAACTCCCTTCACAGTGTTCCGGGGCAGTGGAACGCTCTGAGGGCATGGTATTATCAAGGGACAGTGACCACTTAAAATCCACCAAAATAAAACACACAGGAACTCCTGGCCAAGTTCAGGAGCTTGGATCAGAGCTACTCTTCCACATTTACATCCTCCTTCATTGCTCCAAGACTTACCTCGCTGATGCACCCGAGGTTGTAACAGTTAATAAATAACATTTTTTTATTAAGCAAAAAGTTCTTTTCACCTATTTCACCTCCCTACAACCCACCCCTAACTCTTGTGTCCACGCTCCCAGAGGGCTGGAGGCTTTAAGGAAGGAATTCATACCTAGCAAATTTATGTTGACTCAACACGAGCACGTTGCCTCTAATTTCTGCTACAATCTTGCTCTTATCCTCAGGCCGACCATGTTCTAGCACATGCTGGATAACATAGTTCCCATACTGATCCTGTTTGAGAGACAGCAGAAGTGTGTGACAAAAGGTGGACAGGAACCATTCACAGCAAACCAGTTCCCAATGTGCAATCAGAGTTACAGACTTCAACTGAAAACTAATTGAAATATCTACTGTGCAAATCATCTCAATACTTTCTGCTCCCACAAAAACGTGCATTCCAAATTCTAAATCCATTCTAGAGTGAAAAATGCTGCATTTCTGTAGCAAATGTATCGATTGTAAAACTCAAAACAATGTTCTTCCACGGGAAATGTCAATATTCTGCTTATTCCCAGTTTTCTTCCCTTTCTCCAGGTTCAAATGTATCAAATCATGTGTCCTGGAGGGCTGTGCCACGGGACACTGTCCTTAAGCATATTCATGTTCTGAATTTGGGGATATTCAGATCCCAGGATATAAATATTGCAGTTCACAATCCCAGAAATGGCCTGGTGCCTCAAATCCATGTCCAACCTCTTCCCACTTCCCAAATCCTGAGCACACAGGACAGGCTTTGTTTGCTGGATTTGCTCAATCCATTGTGCCCCAATAGCAGAATCCATGTAAAATCCTGCTAAACCAGGTTCTCAGAAGGACTGCAAGGGAGAGGAAAGGCAGCCAGGAAGGGGGTGTGCATAAAACCAACTCATTTTAAGGACAATTACTTGACACTTCCTTTTCCTGGGAATAATCAGCTCTTGGCACAGGCTCCTTTCAGCTCTCACTTGCACTGTGACTCCTGGAAGGCAGCACCAGGACATGTTTCCACCTGGGATCCATCCCAAAGAGGAAGGTCACTACACTTCTGGTACCCCATGGACATGTGCACATGACCAAAGCAGCCAGTGCTGACCAATTCCTGCTTCCTCTGCTCCTTCCCATTCCTCCTGGGAAGGGAATCCCACAGCCCCAGCAGCACTACAGCCCCACACAGGCTGCAGAGACCCAGAAACACCTCCCAGCACCTGCATCCCCCTTCCCACACCCACCTGCACCAGCTGCTCGGTGTGTTGGTGAAGCTCCTCCAGGATGGGCAGGGTCTGCTCGGGAAGACAGTGCTCCAGGATCCTCTGGATCACGCGGCAGCCGTAGGGGTGTGTGGACAACGCGAACACCTGGGGCCAACAACAGGGACAGAGCACAGGCACCAACACCTCTGTCAGTCCTTGGGAATCCCAGAAACCTCCCAGAGTTAAATGCACACATGCTGGTTTTTCCTGGCCAGCTCCAGACACATCCAAGGCAACTGGAAACATCTGTTCCCCACTGCCAGGTGATCACACCCCACCCCTCCCTGTGCTTCTGCTTCCCCACCCATGGAACAGGAAAACCAGTGCTAAAGCCTCTTGATTAATAAAAGAACGCTGGGGCAACCAGGCATTATTAGGAGCTCTGTCTCAGAGGAATAATTCCAACCCAAGTTTTGAGCTATGTAAGAAATGCTATCAGCCAGAAAAGTTTAAAAACGCCCAGCAAAGGATTTTCCTCAACTGTTTGGATTTGTTTAAAAGCCTTAACAGTGCTTAGGAGAAGTGACAACAAAGCATCCATCTCATTTCTAAAGGATTAGCAAATCTGTGGGTAAGAACATGACACGTTGGGTTATTGCTGCTCAGTTTTCTGTCTCAAGCACAAAGTCCTGTTTGGTTGCCCCAAATTAACAACAGCAGCAAATCTGAGCACTGAAGTTAAATCGACAGCTTGAACATTTTTAATAATTGTTGAGTAAACTGTGCAGGGAAACAGGGCTTGGAGTGCAATTAAGTGCAGGAAAATAGTCTGGAGGTGATAAGTTTAATCCTCCATGTGAAGGTTCAGATGAAACTGGGACGGCTGGTCAAGGAAATGTCAGTGCCATCAACTTTCTGCCTTCCCAAACTGCCCAAGGAAGGGCTAAAGCTAAACTCTAACCAGCAAATCTGCTGAGCAAGTTCCCAGCTAGAATCATGCTTGTTTTGACACAGCCAAGCAAGTTCCCACTTTCCCAGCTGAGCCA